TGTGTGACATTCATTACCAGATAATTAATTTGTGATATTTCTTTGTACATGAGAATCATGTAATCACGTAACCAACTAATCAAAAGTTGTTTCTTCCACATTAACAATTTTTAACCCTTTCGAAGACAACACGTCATCAGGGAACTACAGCCGACTATTTTAGACATTTTTATATGGTGTAATCATAGTTCTCTAATGACTGATTGTAATTCCAAAACTTAGAAATAGCTAACAAATTTTCATGCAGAGGAAACAACTTTTCAGTAGTAATTAGATTAATAATTGGCTTTTACTGTCTTTTATTTCAGTCAATCAAGAATACTACTTGCTTGAAATTGATTATTGACCGTACAAGAGCACCGAAAGATATTGGCACACTTAAGGACATCACACTCTTTGGGAATTTTCTGTTCCCAAGTGAAGGCGATTACAAAGGTGGTGTGATCTGCAATTCATTGGCTGGTGTTGGAAAGGTTCTMAAAAGGACAAAGGTCCAGCTGCAAGCTATTTCAAAGAGAGAATCTGTTGTAGCTGGTGCTACTGGAGCTGAAGTTAGAGAGGGGCTTCCTGAAACTGGCTCAACAGCAAATTCAAGATCCAATGATGTATACAGCATCCGCTTTATCCAGTATGTACCAGAACCAGTGCTTACTACAGATCTGACTGAAGTTGACGTGCATCCGTTTCGGGACATGTTACCTACCAAAGGATTTGCATTGAAAGAAGGTGGTGGAAAACGTGTAGTATTCTCCCAGGCCCAAAAAGATATCATGATATTCTATTATGATCGCMAAGCATTGCAAGGCATTAAAGCCAACGCCAAAGATGTGATCTTGGAAATGAGAGAGCGTGGCATTGAGGRATTGAAAGAAAGTCAGATAAAAAGCTGGTGGAGCTCATACCATGCCAAGAAGAAGAAAGCAATGCAAGCAATGGCGGAGTCCCTTGGCACATTTCAAGCTCCCTCTTCATGCAGCAATGTTTCGCCTACTTCACTACCCATCCCTACCACAGCCACTCCTGTTCTACATGTACCAAGGAACCAGCAACCAGTCCAGACTTCATCAACTGCCAACTGTATTTCATCTGTTACCCAACCTATTGTCACTACTGCTAATCCTGTCTCCACGAACCAGCAACCAGTCCAGACTTCATCTACTGCCAACTGTATTTCATCTGTTACCCAACCTGTTGTCACTACTGCTAATCCTGTCTCCACGAACCAGCAACCAGTCCATACTTCATCTACTGCTAATTGTATTTCATCTGTTACCCAACCTATTGTCACTACTGCTAATCCTGTACTATCTGTGAATCAGCCACCTCTGACAATAGCACATACCATACCTACCATCGGCTGTGCTTCATCTCCTATCATATCAATCTCTACTACAGGCAGTTCTCATGTACCTTCAAACCATGCACCAGTGACAACAGCACTAACTTCAACAACAACTACTACCTGTGTCTCTACAGCCAGGCGTTCAAGAAGGTCTACTGCCATGCTAACTGCACAAAGAAGTCCACACACTCCTGAAATTATGGAATGGCACATGTCTAGTGACCTTAGTCAGTCAACAATCTTGGGTAGGAGTGGCAGTAATGCTTGCACATTCATTGCCTTGTGTTGTGGGCATTTGTTTCATCAAGCTAATCTCCAACCACCAACAAATGGAACTGACCTGGACAATGGTTGGCAAGTTTGCCTTAGAAAAGCTATTATTTCTGGTAATGAAATACATGATGACATCTT